CCCTACATTGTATTTCCAATTGTGACATGATTTAGAAAGGCCATAATAGAGAAATCAAGAGACATCATATATTTTGTCCAATCAGCAGAAAAACTGTCTACTTTAAGAAATAATCTAAATTACAGGGAGATCTCAGAACATACTAATCAATAAGCAGCCTTTATCATAGGAGTCAAAATGTGTGGAAAACGTTGCTTTCTAAGGTCCATACTTCATGTTAAAAGGCATGGAAAACGTAAACTATTTGTTTAAAATCATATCTGAAATCTTTTATTTCAAAATCATGCATGTTTAAAATTGCATTTGTAAACGAACGTTTAAAGATTGGGCTGCTGCACCTTTTAGATAAACAGCAGAAGACGAGCCAGCACTAATGTCCCATTTGGCTGAACACTCCCAGCAGAAGGCAATAACCAGCACCAGAATTCCTCCTTGTCTTTCACGCTAAAGTTACGTCCATACTTGAGGTCAAGTATATTCATAGCATGCTCCAGAGCTTCATCAACCCTATAGTCTAGGGATTTGCTGATTAATGTCAATCTCAATACCAGCCTTTCACTCTTCAGTCTTATGTTATGCTGCTTTGTTTAAAATACGTTTAAATATACTATAACTCCTTACTCTTTTAAATCCAACAGCAACAAATAAATTATTTGTAGTTGATGCACTATCCTGAAACATTTGAGACTGGTGTTTTAAGTTATTACCTGGAATGAAACAGACCTGACTTAAAATCAACATTCCTGTCTCTTTAACCATTAGTCTATCCTGGACCATCCTAGATCACCGATGATAAAATATATGAATAATCAGTGAGTCACAGACCAAAAAAGGAAGCAGGTAGGCATATACTACAGGGGAGTTCATATTCACCTACCTTTGGTTGCCCTAAAAACAGGATTCGTGTTACCTACTGTGACCAAGTTTAAAATACAAGTGCTTAATCTAATTGTTTATACTCACTCTATAGCCAAGAGAAAGAGAAATATTGCTGAAGAGCAAGTCACCATATCTTAAACATTTACTTCAGAACAGGATTAATTACCCTCTAGAGGAGGCCTAGAGAACTAACTCACATTTAACACCTAACTCTTGATGGCAAAAGTAAAATGGGATGAATTTCACTGTAGGTTTCTAAACGAGATGTAGCCTAAACTTAGGTGTCTGTTTTTCCACTTTAAGGAGTGCTTGAGCTAAGTGTGAATACCATCAATTCATAAATTTGTTGTGTCACGTATCAGTCCTTCTCTGATCAGTTTTATGTATTTATCACTTTGTTGTCTGTTTTACATTATACCTGATACAATACAACACCAGAACGATGACAGATCAATGAAATTTCCTGTAATTTAATATCTTAAGACAGTGATGGTTACTTTAGAGGCCATAATATATTTTCAAATATTCTGCTAGTTTAAAATATTAGTTTGATGTCTCTGTACAAGCACTCTTACCCCAATATCTGTCTATTTCCCTTAAGTGTCTTCTTTTGCTTTGATTACAGTCTGACTCATCCCCCAAGAGTTGACTGACAGGTATTTAAGTTTTATTTCTCCCCTCTAGATTTTTTTGTCTGATGCATCTCCCTGCCAGCTGTGCTGCGTCCTAATGATTCTGTTCTTAGTTGCCTAATTCTCCTCAGGCTTTGAGCAGGAATCTTTAACATCTAATTAAGGGCTGTGAATTCCCTTATGCTGGAACTATCTAAAGTCAGGCATCCTCAAGTGACTATTGTCTTGGAAAACGTGATTTATGCTCTTAGGTAATTTGGATGCTTTTGAAAATCTTTTAAACTAAGGGCCAACTTCCAAAGGCCTAACTGAGTTTTTGCTTAGCTCTTACTCAGCGATGAAGTTCCATTTATATCTGCAAAATTAATTTTGTTGTGAAAATGTGCCTGAATTAAACACAGAAAAACCTGAATACAGGCTTCAGGCTGTTTTTTGAAATAAGACAAAAATATACCTTCCCCCCCCCCCCCCCCCCAAATAAGAATAGCAAAAATACATCAAAATAGAAAACAGCATAGCAAAAAATATGAAAATACAAGCAGTGCAAAAGCGTTTATGGACAGTTGTATGAGCACTAGTACCCTCAACAAAAAATGTACTGATTTCTGCATTATCATTTACTGTGTTTTGCTTAAATCAGAGGTAGATGTGTACCTTTTTTCCTGTACAAACAGCGCTTGCTTCTGAAAGCTTCTGTTTTAAATCTAGACTTGCCGAATCATCAGCAGGTTGAGAAGCTAGGAGAAGGCACGGCTCGCAGAACAGCAGAGATTTTCAGGCTTTTATTTGCACCCGCTGAGCAGCATGATGTGTCCCCTTTCAGATGTTTTTCTGCCGAGTTTGTAGCATCCGTTCTCAGGCAAAAACTTCTGTAGAGTTCTGAGAGCATGTTCTTCAGGCTTTTGAAAATATTTCCAAACTGTTTCTTGCTTGCTTACAAATCACTAAACAAAACTAAGTCTTGAAATATACCTTGCTGCTTAGATATTAGGGGTTTTGGAATTTTATTTTTTCAAAAGAGCTTATTAAAAATGGACATTTAAAATAAAAAGACAAGCTGCAAGAACACTGTATTTTAGAACATCATTCTAAAACAAATTCTCTATTTGAGAACGTGATTCCTTTAAAAAGTAATATTTTGTGTAGTGAAAATATAAAGCATTGACTATTCTAAAGTACTGTAGAATTAATTTTACTCCATTTGTGTTAATCAGAGTTTTAAATTCATCCTCTTTGCATCCTAAGATTTTTCCTCTTCTACATATCTTAGAGGACTTTGTATAGAGTTTATTTTGGTGTACTGAAATCTTCTGAAAGTGGCTGTGAGAGACTTCGTATGCAATACCGGCTCTATTGGGGTCTCAAGGAGCTACTTCATTTTCTTCTGTCATTGTTAAGATTTTCTGAATTACTTAATCGTGACCGATTTAGCAAGACTTAGCTCCCCATCTTTCCCTTCCTCTCTTCCTTCCCTACCAAAAGTCAGCTTCACTAGTTTCACTTTATATGACTATCGATAGCGAGTATGTCCATAATGCAGAATATTTTCACATCAGCTCAGGAAGCCTCAAACCACACAGACCACCTCTGATTATTTACAAGTCCATACAGCAGATACATCCTGAATACTCACTGCTGCACTTGCTTACTCCAACGATTACGAAGGAGTATCCCAGCTTACTTAGTGCCATTCAAAGTGTTGTGTCTCTAGGAACAAAGGAGACATTATTTTTCCTTTATGGCTCTAAGAACAGAAGTTATTTTAGCTTGCCCCCACATGCCTCTGGAGTTCTTCTGGCCCTACAGCTCCTCCTTTTCTCCACTTGCATAAGAGATGCATTAAACGTGCTGCTCCCAGTTCTAAGTGTTTATGTGATGATGGAGGCATCCATGTGATACTTGGCGCCTTTGGGGCAATACTGGAACGTGAAAAGATCCTGAGAAACAAAGAAATAACTAGCGTGACAAACTGGCCAGCCATGAAGACTGCTGCAATTGTTGCTCTGTCCCCAAGCATACACTAGTATTTCAGGCAGGAATTATGCAGTCTTACAATGGGAATATTAAATAGAGATATGGAATGGTTGCAGTGGCCCCAGAATTTTGCATCTAATCAGATTTACCAACAAACATGTCCTACTCCTCTTGGTGTGGAGATGCTAACTTTCAAGTTATGAAAAGATTCCCACGTGACACGAGAAATATGTTGAACAGTTAGTTTCAGGAAAAACAGGATCACTGCTAAGACGCGTATGCTTACAGTTTGCTTTCCGGAAAACATATATGGACATACCAACTGTAACTGTATTACTCCCTGGTTTAGGGGGTGGTGGAAGGTTCAGAAATACTGGTGTGAAAAATTCTGAAAGGTTCATGGCATTAGGTGCACAAAGGAGCGTTTCTTTGCATAGAGAAAGCTGACTTTCATAGGCTAACTACAATTTATTCATTTCTCATACTCTCAATGGGCCATGGGTCCTACTATTAGTTTGGTATGTACTGTTTTGGCCTGTGGTCTTGACATGACTCATAAAGCAATATTCTGACTCTGTAAGCCCCGGGAAAAGACAGCTTAATTACACGCACAGCATCTGGAAAGACTGCTGGAGAGTTCATCTGGCAGATTGAAAGCAAAATAGCATACGGCCTATAAAACCATTTCAATACCAGTGTTGCAAAAAATATATGTTTAATGATAGTCTGATACACTCTACCCAATATCTACAAAACCAAAATATTTTTATATAAGATAGATCTCGGATACTGATGAGATGCTGCATCAGTTTATGCAAGCAGCAGGAAAAATAAATAAGGAATACTAAAATACCTCAGCATCAGAACATTGAGGGTGATAGTTTGGAGTTGCTTTCTTGTTTAAAATCGAATGGAAAGGTTTTTAATAAGAAGCTGCTGTAATTTTTTAGGAAGTACAGAAAACTTTACTCATCTTTGCTTTGTATTGGCTAAAGGTGTCTATCTAGATTTTGAAATATTCATGGTTTTCTCCATTTAAAGAAATACTAGTTACTCTCTCTGTGTTTGTGGCTTTTGGATCATATGATTCCATGTATTTTGGTTCTCAAATGATTTATTTTTCCTGTTAAAGTCACAATTTCAGAGAAAAATATGGGTATATCTTTTCTAGTACATTGACAATTACTGTCCTGTACAAAAGAAAAATGTGTATTCGGCAAAGAAGTGACAAAAGGCACACGTAACAAGAAAATATCATAATTCATATATTCTAAGAAACTTTCTAAATCTCTTTTTGTATAATTATTTTTAATGGTCATTTATGGCCTAGGCTTTACATTTCAGTGTGGAATTGAATCATACCAGAGCTTCTGCTACCAGCATTGCTTTCTATTTTTCTATTTTTAACTCAAGCTTCAGAATTAAAATCAAAGGTGGGAGTTCACAATGATAACAGAATTACAACAGTAAATGACAAGACTTTGGGTCTAGTGACAGCACAATGTATCAGCAGAGAGAAGAACAGAGTTAGTTATACAAGTGGACCTGCAAGGTTTTCCTGTCTAAATAATTTGTAGAATTTTTGCTGCATAAAAAAAGCAAAATCAACGAACATTCCTCTCTAGCAGTGGAGGAAAAAAAGAATCAGGAACAGCATGGATAAGAAGCTGAACAACCACTGAGTAACTGATAGCTTCAGGAAAGAATACTGAATGAAGTCTGGAAACCTTATGAAGCCCTCAGTAGCAAAGTCTCTTAATCCATGCAGACGTGCAATACTGAATGTTAACAGCACGTTTTCAAGAAATTCCCAGTCCTACAACCTGAACAGACTGAGCAGAGAGACCTGTTTAGTGCTGGCCGCAGCACTAATACCACAAGGCAATATAATCTATGGTCAACATTTTAGCCCAAAAATACAAATGAATTTTCAAACTCCTTCAAAGTAACTTTTCAAAAAGGAATGACTTTGAGGCCTAGATACAGGGCCCTGTAACTGCAGTTAAAATGCCAAAGATTGCTATTGAAGTACTAGCTTAGTAGCCTTGACGGGTGGCATTGGTGAGAGACAGTAATAGAAAATGAGAATTAGGTATCAGTTTTGCAACAGCAGCTGTATAGGCTCTTTACCCAACAGCATCCCACATAGTCCCAGTAAACATGGAAGGCACTAGTAACGGCAAAGGTGCTGTTTGTGGTCCCTATGGTCAGACACTGATTCACCCCCAAATCAGTCCTCGGAAAATATTCCCAGACTGTAAGCTAGAACAGAAATAAACACTGTGATATATCCAAAATATCATGCCACTGCAACGTTCTAGAAAAGGGTGCAGTGAAAATCAGCAGTTCCCGGCTTTGACCATGTATAAGGTGCACCTGCTTCAATAGGAACATACATTACATACATTTTAAAAGTGCATACCAACAGAAAACCTACTTGCGTGCAATATCTTAGAAAATTTTTTGAGAATGTTCATCGTTACGATCACTTCTACAATATCGCTTAAATCACCATCTAGCTGGATTATCTGTTGGCTAAGTGCCAACCATGAACGTTAAATCTGTTGATTGGCTGTTGACAACTCCTGTACAGCATGCACATCTGGTTTTAGGAGATCATGCCGTGAAATAGCATTACTTCTTCAGTCACGAAAAGTCCTTCTTTAGGAGCTCTCCAATGTTTTAACACGTGCTAAACATAAACTCAATTCCAGAGACAGTAATTTCAATGAATAAATAGAAGCTACACGAGGACTGAAAGTTCAATGAATTTTCCAAATAAATAGTTGAAAAGGAGCTGCAGAATGTTTCTTTGTATTTATGAAGTATCAATAGTACTTTTGCACTCCCTCTAACCAGATCACAAATGAAGCATATTACCCAAGTTCCACAAAGAAATTGAAATGGCCTTCCATTCTCATAGTAAGAGCAGTTGTAGGAGCTGAAAATGGAAAACAGCTCTTATTATCTTATCTTTATTCTCATTAAAGCATATGGACAAGATGTAGAAAAGACCATGATCCTACACTGGAATCCTTTAGCATGTATCACTTTATCTATGAAGAGCCCATCGACATTAATAAGCCAAGAGATCTATGCTAAAAATCCTGACAATCAATTCACAAAATTTTTATAAACATGTATAGACAATGAAATCAAACAAATATGAAGAATTAATTGTAAAGTCTTTCAGTTTTGATCACGTGCTAAAGTAACACAGGGAAAAAACGTGCTTACTTTCTACAACAGGCTAAATTCTGCATCATGCTCCAACGCCTTTATTCCACTCAAAAACACAAATACATCAAATATATCTGTAATACATCAGCAGAGAAATTTGCACAACAGAAAGGTGCTCCCTTCTAGCAGTAAGCTAGCAGATCTGAGGCATTAGCGTGAGCCAACACTACCTCCACAAAGAGAGGAAAGAAGAGGGCAAGATACAGCACAGTTCCATCAGTCTTCCACTAGAATAATGTTCCTCAGGTGCTACAGACAAGCAGTAGAGGGCTCTAACTCATAACGTGGCCATTTTCTGCGTTTTCTCCAGTCTTCAAATATTTTTCGCAACTCTGCATTCTAACCAATAAGCCAATCTCTTTTTAAAAGATGGCTGTGGATCTGTCACATCTCAAACACAAGTACTACACACACAACCGACTTCTGCTCACGTTCTCCTGCAGTCTTCTCCACCCCACTAGCCTGAATGCTGGGTATCCAGGACACGCAATCTGAGGGAGCCCATGCCACTGAATTGAAGCTGAGGGGGGAGGAGAAAAATGGATAAGGGTTGTAGGGATAGGGGTAAAGGAAGGGGCTGGTAATAGGGTACATGGCAAAATGCCACAACACAGGCTCCACACACATTGGTTTTTTATATCAGAAAATAAGGCAATCTAAGAGGTCTATGGATAACAGAACTGCATATATTATTTCAATATTCGGTATCAATGCTGTTCAAAAATAAAATCTCTCTACTCCTTCTCATTATTTCCAGTTATATACCTAAGGATCACATTAGCATTTTTACTGTTATACCAGTGTCCTGGGA